TCTCCTCTGGTGCCAGTGGTGCTTTGGAAGGATCTGTTGGAGAAAAAGGCCTAGCACCAAGGGACTATGAAAGAAAGCTGAGTGTTTCTGTTCATCTATCTTACCTCACTCTTGCATTTCTTTGATTGTTCATTTGGGTGGTTGGAAAGGCATGCTTATGCTCCCCTCAGTCCAGCACCTTGTATTGTCTCCTTTTTTACAGTGAGGTTGATGAAACAATTGAACAGGTTGCCCAGAGAGGTGGTAGATGCCCCATCCCTGGAAACATTCAGGGTCAGGTTGGACAGGGCTCTGAGCAGCCTGACCTAGTTGAAGATGTCCCTGCTCATTGCAGGGGCTTGGATTGGATGACCTTTAACAGTCCCAACCCAAAATATTGAATGATACCAGGACAGCTCATGTGCAGTTGATGTTACTGGGACTTGGATGGCCAGACCAAAGGGACACCAAACTTTATTTTCTCTGTCAGCTGTGAACTACCTTGCTATCTAGTAATAAAGTTCCATCATGATGGGGAAACCCTCCATTCTGAATGATACCATTTCAAACTAGCTTTGCTTTGTTTTCCAAAGCTTTCAGACATTTCTAACACATGCAATCCTTGCAAAATTTTCTGAGAAAGTGACAAGTAAACAGTGATTCTTACAGAGAAAGAACATGTGCTTTCCACTTCACTTACACCCTTTGTACCATGCTGCAGAGGAGCTCCTGGATCAATTGGCAGGGTGTGCTCCTCCTTGCTAAATGCTCCAGTAAGCCCAAAGGAACCAAACCAGTGAGAAGGGAAAGGCCGACACATTACCAAATGGTATAATTCTTCATTAATTTTCAGTATCTAGTGACTTATGTCTCTGAATAAAGCACTCAAGCATATTGGATGGCTCAGTAGCTGTTCTACACCAAAACATTTTCTAGCTCCTTTGTCACATACTGTCAGTAAATCTCATGGAGTATCTCCCAGGAAAATGAGGTAGAATTGAAATAAATTGGCCTGGAGGCAGCTGCAGGCTTGTGGGTGTTTAATGTTTAAAAGACTAGAAAGCATCACTTCAATTCCACAATATCCATTTGCCAAAGAACTGTTTCAGAAGTGCTATATGCTCTATTATTATTATTTGTGTTGTTATCAGGCCTTAGATTCAAATTTTATCAGGTCTTAGATCTCAATTTTACAAAAACAGGACTTCTTTGAATCTGACACCTTACCACCAAGAGATTAATAAATTGTCCTGCACTGAGCAGCTTATGTTTGAAATACAAAGAACAGATTAAAGAGGGAAAGAAAGGTATGGGAAGGTTCAGTTACCTTCCTGAGTTCATACAGCAAAGCATCAGACCCTAATTCACAGCCCTGGAGCTGTAGGGATATCCTGATGCTCACCCATAATTTGGGTGGCAGGGCTTGTCACTCTTCATACCTCAGAATGAGTTATGGAGTAAGGGACACAGCTGTGACTGAAACATGAAAACATGAGGGGAAAGAATAAAAGAGGGGAGTGAAGGACAATGAGCACATTTTCAGATGTTTTGGCTTCCCAGGGATGAAAGGAAGAGGTCAGCTGGCAGAAGCAGACAGCAGTGCTGACAGTGCCCTGGCAGTTTGGAAGGTGTGTAGAGAGAAGCAAGAGAGGGGAAAGGGCTGCCAAGCAGGCGTAGGGTCGTGGCTGGTGAAAAGGGAGGGGAAAGCTGGGGTGAAGTGGGTGAAGAAGGAGCAGAGGAGCTTGCAGACAGGCTGGGAACAAAGAGGAAGGTGACAGCTTTCTAGAACTGCTGCAAACTGAAGACTTAGATGAAGATTTAAACCGGGTTGCAGGGTAGATGGAGGATGCCACAGGGACAAGCAGGCTCAATCCCATGGAACAGAGGGTAGCAGCAGCAAAAGGAACTGTAGCAACACATCCAGCAGTACAAAACACATACAGTCAGCTACTGCAGACTTCAGCTTGAGGAAACGCAGGAAAGGGCAGAAAAGCGACAACTATGAACGATCTTTTTGCCTGGGAGAAAGCACATCTGTCCTTGAAACTGGTGCTAAGCCATGACGGCAGGAGCGTTAAATTTCTCTTGCCGGGGACATGAACACCGCTGTGAAGCCAACACTGCCCGGAAAACTCAAACTGCTGCCTTTTTCCTGGCAGCCCGAACTCCAGTTGTGTTCCCCATCCGCCCGGGGCTGCAGGACGGGCGGCAGGGCAGAGGGGGCCGGAGCTGTGCTGTGGGGAAGGCCCACGAGAGGGAGCCAGGAGCAAAGGA